GGACCAGCATGCATATCCTCTCACTGACCTTCCACAGATTACAGAACAGAAAGCATGAAAATGAACCTGGAAACACTCCTCCAACTTCCTCCCCCACAACCCCCTACTTCACATGGACCAGGAAGCTCTCCAAGGAGAGAACATAGTCATGGATACTTTTCAGAATGAAGTGTAATTTAACAAAGCCTTCAAGGTGTTTGGTAAATTTGGAGAGACAAAAAAAAAAACAAAAAACAAAACAAAACAAAACAAATTTACAAGCACAGGGACACATAGTACTCCTTTATAAATAAATACGTAAGGTTATAAAAAAGAAGTATGATGATATACAAGTGATGAGAAGTAATAATAGCAACAAAGATTAACAGTTAATTGAACATTAGCCATATACCAAATGCTATGCGAAACTTTCCACTTGAGTTCTAAGAGTGAATATTTATTAATACTGTTATTTGTAAGGAAACAGGCTTAGGTACTGTGGTGTCTCAATGGCCTTTTAACCAGGGTCCCCTTCATGAGGTTGGGCTTATCTAGCAGCTCTCTTCAGGTCGCAGATGTGTACTGATTTACGTAGTAGCTCAAGAGCAAGGCAGAAGACATTTGTCTTCCAGCTAAATGCCAGAACAGCCAGGGAGAACCCTTTATTAAATAAATGCAAGCTGGTTCCCATAATGTGCTCGCACTTAGTGAATGTTTCTCTCTCTTACAGACAGATAGACAACCCCCCCCACCCATTGGTACACATACCTTCTAAAACTCCTCTGACTCTAAACTTAGTCACAATGTACAGATTGTAGTTTGTTTTTTAAACAGAGTTTTTTTTCCTGATTATAGATTTAATATGGACAATTTGAAAATTCAGAGGAAATCATACAACATAAAATAAAATATACCCATTGCCCATATATCATTTTCCCATTCTCTCTCTCTCTCTCTTTCAGGATTCATTCATGAACTCAAAATCAACTCAGAATCAATTATAACAGACCCTGTACACAACTTCGCTTATTTACCTCCCTGTGACTAGCACATTAGAATAAGAGACATCTTTTAGAGGCGTTTTTTCCCCCATCCCACACACACTTTAGCAGATGGCCCTGTTTCCTTCCTCCCGCGCCCCAGACTCCGCACAATCAATGTGGGATCAGGGCCCACGTCCCCATTCAAATAAACTTGTCAGTGCTCATAATGTGTGAAGCCACAAGTGAGAATATCAATTCCAATGCTATCTATGGGTAGAATGAGGTCATTAACTGAAAATGTATTATGTTCTTTTATTTTCTATCAGTTAGCTAAATTCTTACTTTTAAAATTTAATATAAGACAATCAATCTCACTGACACTATTAATGTTTGCTTAGATATAGTCATCCAACAAATGAAGTGTCCACTATGGGACAGACCAACTGCAAATTTTATTACTGAATCTAGAAACTTCTCCCAGCAATGTGAGTGAAAAATATGAAAAGATTCAAAACTTAGCCAAAATTTTCAAGTGAAAAAAAATGTGATATAAAGTATTTAAATAATAATTATATAATATATTTCCCTTAGAAGCAGTTCTATACATTTGGCTAATACCAGAATATTTTATTTCAGGATAACTCTCTTATGCCTAAAAGGAAAAAAAAAAAAAAAAGAGGAAACTGTTTTTCATTAAAAATCCAGAAGAATACTATTATTTCATATAAGAAAAACCTAGTCTTTTATCCTAATAGACTGTTATCCTAATAGCCTTATGGTAGTTTAAATTTTTTCTCCTTTATTTTTCTCTATTCAAAACTCCTCACCCTTTATTTGACCAGTTGCCAACTATCATAACAGGCCAATCCAACCAGCATTTTACCTAGGGCAAACTATTCTTTTCACTTTTCGCTTTCCTCACAGGTTTCAATCATGTTTAGGATGTCACCATTATCTTCCTTCCATCTAAGCTTCTATACCTGCATCCCCAAGCATTTGAGTTAAAAACACATTGCTTCAAGAAATTCTTACTGCATATTCCAGTTTAGTGCGATTTTATTTCTGAGTTCTGATTTATTCCTTCATTGTGTGGGCTCCCAATTTTATATAGTTTTTAAAAAATAGCGGGGCGCTTGGGTGGCTCAGTGGGTTAAAGCCACTCCGGTCATGATCCCAGAGTCCTGGGATCGAGCCCCACATTGGGCTCTCTGCTTGTTGGGGAGCCTGTTCCCCCTACCCCCCGCCTGCCTCTCTGTCTACTTGTGATCTCACTGTCAAATAAATAGATAAAATCTTTTAAAAAATACCAAGTATAAGAACAATTTTCAGCCACACATCACTAAACAACTGAATAACAGTGATGCCACAGCGTCCCTGATTGGGGGAAGTCAGAGAGAAGTGAAGACCTAGGGGGCGGGGCACCTAATGAAAAGACTGAGACACTGGCATGGGGTACATGGGAAGAAGCAAGGATGGAAGAGATGGGAGAAAGCACATAAAGGGAAGAGACTTCTATAAGACAGCATACAGAATTCATGCTTCTTTAAGGGCTCCAATCCCTTTGTCTTCCTGAAATCCAAGTGAGTCCGTGGGGGTGGAAGGAGGCTGAGCAGGGGTCTCACAGGGGGCCACCCCCACTTCAGTCCCCCAGGGGCAGGCCTCCTGCAGGCAGGCAGGGGGCAGGTGTGAGGCTGCACGTCGCTTCAGAAAGTAAATGATAAGGTAGCCAGCAGTTACCTGATCTTATTTTGGAGTCTATGTGAACACACTTAGCAAGAGCAAATGAGCTTATTAAGGAAACCAATCTACAGCATTCCTAGTTAAACCAGGAATCATTTTCTCTGATAACCTAAATTACATAGCTGAAAAGTACTGGGCCTGTGCCTTTCTAATGTGAGCAATGACATTGAAATCTTCCCCGTTCAGTGTGAACACTAAATATGAATAAAAATAGAATGCCTTATGACATAGAAAACGATCAATACAGATTTGTCATCTATTCCTGGGGCAAAATCATTTTTTCTTCCTTTTTTTTTTTAAAAGATTTTATTTATTTGAGAGGCAAGCGGGGAGAAGAGAGAGAGCCAGCATAAGCGGAGGTGGGGGGGAGGCAGAGGGAGAAGTAGACTTCCCCTAAGCAGGGAGCTTGACACAGGGCTGGATCTCAGGACCGTGAGATCATGACCAGAGCAGAAGGCAAAATGTTTAACCCACTGAGCCACCAGGCTCCCTTCCTGGGGCAAATTTAAAATATACCCTTTTAATAGAAAGTTATGCTCTTCTAAGTTTCATTGATATTTTTGCTTCAAAGCAGCAGTTACCGGGACACCTGGGTGGCTCAGTTGTTTGGGCGGCTGCCTTCGGCTCAGGTCATGATCCCAGTGTCCTGGGATCGAGTCCCACATTGGGCTCCTTGCTCGGCGGGGAGCCTGTTTCTCCCTCTGCCTCTGCCTACCACCCTGTCTGCTTGTGCTCACTCTTGCTCCTCTCTCTCTCTGACAAATAAATAAATAAAATCTTAAAAAAAAAAAAAAGTAGCAGTTACCTTATTTATTATGACACTTAAACATTTTATTTAGAATGTAGATTTGCGGTCACCAGAAATGGCAACAATATGAGCACTGAACTCAGACACACTTAAAGTAAGCAATGTGCTAATTAGCAACACTTTTCAAGGAATTAGGCTACTGACTATATGAAAATAGTTGCTGTTGCTAATTATTCTGCAAGTCTCCAAAGAGTCATATTTTTCTAACTATGAAAAATAGAAAATAGAAAGAATAGAAAATAGAAAGAAACTATTACTTCCAAGGAGTAAGAATGTCTTAATATGGGTGCAATTTGAATATTTTTTGTGATAAAAACAAATCAATTCATCTGTCTTCAGATCATTCAATTTAGCCAAGCAAAGCATAACAACTAATATTGATCCCATTCTTTGCTGCCACTAAGTGCAACCAGATAACAGGGCAACAGGGGTCAAGAGGGTCTGCTTGCCTCTGGCTGGGAACCCCAAATGCTGAACAAATGTAGGGTAAAAACAATGCAAAGGAAAAATAAAACTCAATTTTCTACACAGTGGACACATTTGTCCCTTTCTTCCTTCTATTGAACCTAAAGTATTATATATATCCTAACTCTTATTACGTGGTATTCAAAGCCAGATCCCTCTAATATTCATGTATCTAGGATATGCACATTCAGGACCCTGCAGACAGAATGTGTTAAATGGTCGAGCCTGATGACTAACATTTCTTTCTAAAGTGCCTGAATTACTGTTAGGAAATATCTTACAAACTCTAATGTCAAGTCTTTTACCATTTTTTTTTTTCTTTCCAAATAAAATGGTGCTGGATGAAATAACATAATACCCAGTTAAAAGTGCTAACAGTAAAATCACCTAAAATGTCTACTTTTGACCTCTTCAGAGACCTTATCTTATATGAAATTTTGGTGTATTTTGTATTCTTAAACTTTATCTGAACCATTGCTTCTGTCTATGCAAGGGTTAGTAAATAGTATTTAATGTTGTTGTTGTTTTTCCCCATAGCAATCACACATTTGCTTAGTGATAATGAGTAAGTGTTCAAAGGGAGGACTTCCTCTGGATTTTCTATCAAACCACAATCCTTATTAAGAAACAAGGTGCAGGGGCGCCTAGGTGGCTCAGTGGGTTAAGCCGCTGCCTTCGGCTCAGGTCATGATCTCAGAGTCCTGGGATCGAGCCCCACATCGGGCTCTCTGCTTGGCGGGGAGCCTGCCTCCTCCTCTCTCTCTGCCTGCCTCTCTGCCTGCTTGTGATCTCTCCCTGTCAAATAAATAAAATAAAATCTAAAAAAAAATATATTTAAGAAACAAGGTGCATCCAGAGGCCACTTTTGTAGGATTATTTTAATTAAAGTAAATTATTAAACACAGCCACTAACCTTTAAAAATGAACTACAAATGAACATTATTCACTGTGGTGTTATGATTCATTCTGCATCTAATAACAGAAACCCCAGCCAACACTCCAAGTCAGACTACAAGCAGGCTTACCGTCGTCATACTGGCCGAAGCAGATTGTGAAGAACGCTGTGAGAACAGTCCCTGAAGCTAACAGTTTCCAGAGATAAAGCTGTTGTAGCATCTTTTGTTGAATTCCACTCAAGGCTGATCTGAAATAACAGGAGAGGGAAGGAAACATGGGACAAGTTCATTGATCTGTGATAGGTAAACACAGCTGTCACAGCACAGAAAACCCTTAATGACTTCATAGGCAATAACCTGTGTCATACTCTCCATTAACAAAGTAACACACCTTTGTAATGCCCTGTAACTCTTTCCCACAGGGATTTGCAGACAAGTAATCTCTAAGGAAGCAAATATTTTCTGTGACTCTAAGCAAGTAATTTGCAAAGCTGACATACTGATGATGCCAGAATCATGCCCTGTTAAACACTGAGACCCCATGAGTGTAGCAAAAGTTAAACAGTTTAAGATACTAAATTTATGTGGTCTATAGCCTAGTTCAATGAAATAGTATACATTGTTTTGTTTTTATAAGTTTATTTATTTAGAGAGAGTACACGAATAGTGGGAGGGGCAGAGGAGAGAGTCCCAGGCGGACTCCCTTCTGACATGGGGCTCAACCACATGACCTTGAGACCATAACCTGAACCAAAACCAAGATTCAGTGGCTTAACCGACTGAGTCCTCCACGTGCCCCAAGTATGTGCTGTTTTATGACAATTTAAGCTGGCACTCTAGTTGTCAATGTCCTACATGAAAATTTCAATGGGCCTTTGTTTTATACAATCAAATAGAAAAACCCCTCATTACAGTAGAAATTGCTTTCTGGCAGAGCAAAAGGAGATTGACTATGCCAAATAAGACCAAAGATAGACCACGCATTTTGACCACATCTGTCTTGCAAAGCACTGGGACAAATTTCATTTTCATCCCTTTCCTTTTCTTTGCAGTCCCACAACAAGCAAAGAAACTGAGTGAGATATTAGTGGCCAGTAAGTGCACCAAGAAGTCTTATTGAAAGAATGATGTGCTAAGTTTCCATGTAAATTGAAGAAATCATTCACACGGACGTGCTCAAAGTGACCCTGGTTATAGATCATGGTAGAACAGGGACAGGAACTCTGCTTCTCTCATTCAGGGGTTCTATGCTCAAGTGCCTATGGGGGCAAGAAGACGTAAGAGTGAATGAGTTGCAAAGGAGCCATGGGGATGACAAGGCTGTGATGGGGAGCAGTGTTTGTCTGCGGAGGCCAACTGGGGCCAATTTCTGTCAATGGCTGTTGGGTGGGAATGCAAACCAGTGTTGCCAGGTCTTCAAAGTTTCCAGGATATCACAGAAATCCACACTTCCATGTGAGATGGCCCAGTGTTTAGATGACTGTCAAACCCTTTTTATAACCAAGTGCTTCTGGTGGGCCATATTGTTCTCTGAGGGCCTTGGGTTTACCACTCCTGCCCAGGATTCTCTCTCCTTAGATGACTTGTGGTAAGACTCACAAGAATGTACCAAGGAAATATTTTCATCCCGCCTTTACATGGATTTTATTTCATCCATCTTTCTGTTTTATAAAGTGTACTTGTACAGTAACATATATAAATGTACATAATTTATTTTAAACTTGTATTAAAAATGCAAGCCCATTTTTTTTATTATTTATTCATAGGATACATAGTCCTTAAGTTTCCAAGGTCACTACACTAGATCACACACATTTAAGAATGAGAGCTATTCTTCTGTTTCCTTATCTAAGACAAACACACAGACAGACAAAAAGGAACCTTCTTTTTACCTGGCCCTCACACAGTTTTTTCTCCCTGACTGGCAATAGATTTGACCTCTGCTTTTGTAACTTCTAGGCACAGATAGCTCAAAGAAGAGCCCAGTATTAAATATTAAGAGAACATAAGAAACCGTACTTACAGCTGACCAGTGTGAACATATGTAAGAGCAGTGGATTAGAGTTATAAATTCAAGTTATTCTTTTTTTTTTCTAAGATTTTATTTATTTATCTGACAAAGAGAGACACAGCGAGAGAGGGAACACAAGCGGGGGGAGGGGGAGAGGGAGAAACAGGCCTCCTGCCGAGGAGGGAGCCCAATGCATTGCTTGATCCCAGGACCCTGGGGTCATGGCCTGGGCCAAAGGCAGACGCTTAATGATGAGCCACCCAGGTGTCCACAAGTTTCTTTATATATTCAAGTTATTCAAATTACCAGTTACATGATTTTGAGCAAATCAGACAGCATCTCTATCTCACCTTCCTCATCATTAACATGAAGCTAAAATAGGACCTACCCCAGAAGTTTGTCTTGAGGATTAAATAAGTGAATGGATTAAATAAATGATGCTCGGTGCATCAAACAGAGTGAGATTAAAATGCACATTTTTGACTCAACATCTGTGGAGGCTTCAAAGTGCTGAAACATACATTTTCTCAACCTGTCTTCAGGATAGCCTCTAACATAGTTGCTATTATCTGTATTCCGTGGAGGAAAGGTCACATTGAATAGCTTCAGGTTATAAACTGGCCATAGAGGTGGTGAGTCTGAAACCTGTGCTCATTGCATTACAGGCTCAGAAGGTTTCAAGAGACATGGAGGCCTCTTCCCAAACCTGGAGAAAAGTCCTGCTATCATTATTTACAAATGATAGCCCCAAACCATTTTTTCTCAAAAAAAATGTAATAACACAAAGAAACAGAAAGTAGGATCTAAAATTTAAAAATACACACACACACACACACACAGATAAAATAGTTAAAAATATTTATTAAGAAAAACTTAAAGGAAAGCAATACTATCTTTCTAAGTAACAAAAGAGCAACGTTGTGTTTCTTCATGGGTCCTTAACCAACTTGACTTCCCTCTCACTGGCTTAGGTTTTAGTATTATGTTCCTGTAATGTGTCATTTTCTTTTGCTTCTGAGTCAAACTATTTGGTTCCATCTAACAGCCTTGAAGATGAAAACCACCAGATGGGTCCTAATTTTAAAATTACTAAAGCCACTGCATTTTTCTATCTCCAGAAATAGAACCTCTTGATCTATGATCTTGTATATTGTTACTAGAGAATCATACTTATATTTTTGAAAATATCACAATAAAAACTTACATAAAAATTCACTTAGACTAGATATAGCATTTACCAACCAGAGTAATATGAATTTTTGGGACAATATGTTACTTTGAATAATGACAAACATAGTTACTTTCCTATCTTATTTTTTTTTACTACTTAATTTATGTATTTATCATTTCCAAGGCAATTTTAATTATTTCAATAGACCCAACATGTATAGCACCTAAAAGAAAAGTTATGACTCATCATGTCAGCCTAATATCCTAAGACATAATGCACATATTGGTTTAATAAGAAAATACTGATTTCTGAATCAAGATGCAATGAGAAAATATTTCCTGGAAACAGGCTATGCTTCTACAAATGAAAGACTAAGGACGTGCACAATTAATAAACTCATGGTGCTAGTCAGTTGACAGGCTCTTCTGTCAACGAATAAGTTGGAACAGACCAAACATTTTAACCAAAATAACATTTTCATTACTAGTTATGCAATCTGTAGGACTGCAGACAAAGTTCTTACAGGAGATGAAAACCCAAATCCTGTTAAATGACAACATGTAAATGAAAGGCGTTTCAAACAACATCCCAAATGTGGTGTAGTACCTTTACTACAAATTCCGTATCAAACTCTACCATGTTCTCTGGGTACAAGTCTTCCCTCTGGATCTCGTTGGCCAACAACATTATGCTCTAGCAACTAGAACATGTCCCAATCTAAAAAGGAATGGAGCTCACCTGTACAAAGTTCATTGTACTTGCCTTTCAGGAGATAATCTAATTGGTTAAGTCAACACTCTGGTATACCTAATAAACTCCTTTTGCTTAGTGATTTGTAAACAACATTCTATTGTCAAATATATTGGGAAAAAAGGCAGCTTTCCCATTATGTTATAATTCTACATGTAAGTGGTTGAGTTTCATGAATTTGACAATACATTTTCCACGGGCTTAAGAGTATTTTACTATTATTCAAGATATAATATATCTATTTTGACTTGCACATCATTTGGATTCCCCTCAGACAAAACTCATATATATTTCTTGGGCATTTGATGTTCTTAGAAATTCATTTACTCAACAAGCAGTCATGGAGGGTCTATGAGGTATCACTCACCCTTTTAGGCAGCAGGAAACTATCAATGACAAAAAACCCACTGACATGTCTACTCTCATGCATCTGACATTCTAGGAACATGAGGAGAGACAAACAATAAACACAAACACATCACATAACAGGTGAAAAAGTAGTGACATGAAAACACCAGCTTGCATTTTCAAAATGTGATATGGTCCCTTAACACTTAATTTTCATTCAGAGAATGAAGTTGGATCAAATGAAGCAACCACAATGTTTTCTGAGAATAGAGCTGAAGGAGAACTTTACTGGATACACCCTTGAGGTGACCTTACGCCCCGAGTACACACTGTTGTTCCTCTCTCAGAAGAAGAATAATGACCTTTCATCCCTTTCACATCCAGGGACTGCAAACACATGATGCTTTGTGTGGCCAGGCTGGTTGTATGACTCATGGCAAGAGCAGTCAAGACTGACCCCCCAGCTGTCTTTCCTCTGGTATATTTTTGACAATGTCAACTATATATATATTTTTTCTAAGCATTTGTCCCTGATTGCTATCTTGGGGGGGGGTGGGGAAAGTAGTCTCCTTGATCTGTCAAAGTTTGGAGCACACTGCCAATACCATGATGAGAACTCCCACCCTGATGTGGCATCAGGCTACCAGCTGGAATGCCTCTTGGTGAAGTGGGAGCTGTCCCATGCACCTGCCCCCAGCACTTTGCTCTGTCAGACTCTGGGATGTCTAGCTCTGACAACATCTAGACAGCGATGTAAAAATGAAACTTATCACTGGTCCATATCCCTTGCAAGAAGGGTATGCTATCCACTTGTGGGAATAAAGCAAACTCCCTTTCAAAGCAGCTTCTACTATCAAACTGAAAACTCAATGTTCTCCAACATCATGACACCTCAACAGACCAAATACAAACTTCCGTACATGACTAGTTGAAAAACTTT